AGCTTCACTGGTTATGTGGTTTCTAAGATGTTTATGATGGACACCACACAACCGATGCTGGGCAGGCATGCCATAAACATATCTCACTTTATTTTGCTAAAATGGAATAAAAATACAGACTGAGTCTTAAACTGTATACATTCATATCACACATGGCCTACATAAATCTATTGTTATCTTCATGAGAACAGAACAACTGATGTTTGGCTTGTCTGTACTTCTTGACACAACCTAATAATCCACAACAGCACATGCAAATCATGTGTTCTTATTTAGAGTATTTCATACTTAATAACGACTGTATCACTGGTATATAACCTACACTGGATAACCCTTGATATACACATACTATGAGTGAGTGAGGTGATATGCCATTATTTAGAGTATTTCATACTTAATAACGACTGTATCACTGGTATATAACCTACACTGGATAACCCTTGATATACACATACTATGAGTGAGTGAGGTGATATGCCATTATTTAGAGTATTTCATACTTAATAACGACTGTATGACTGGTATATAACCTACACTGGATAACCCTTGATATACACGTACTATGAGTGAGTGAGGTGATATGCCATTATTTAGAGTATTTCATACTTAATAACGACTGTATGACTGGTATATAACCTACACTGGATAACCCTTGATATACACATACTATGAGTGAGTGAGGTGATATGCCATTATTTAGAGTATTTCATACTTAACAAGAAGACAAAGTCATCAATATCCCCCGCAATGGCAAAATACTCTTCATGATTATGTCTACGATTTATGATTATGTCAAATATTTAGGTGTGTATATAGAAAAGTGGAAGGAGAGTAGTGAAAGGTTTTTAAAGTTCAGCTCCGGAAAAGAGCACTACCACTAATTTCATTCTAAGTCGAACTTGTTGCCATGGAAATGCCAGAAATATTTTATTCAGAATTCCAAAACTACCAAAAGGCACCAGTACACCACCAGACCAATCTATGTGCCAAGTTTGGTAAAGAAATAGTGAACGGTTTTAGAGTTCAGCTCCGGAAAAGTGTACTACCACCAATTTCAGGCTAAGTCAAAACTTGTTACCACGGAAACGCCAAGAATATTTTATTCAGAATTCCAACACTACCAGAAGGCACCAGTACTCCACCAGATCTATCTATGTGCCAAGTTTGGTTAAGAAATATTGAACAGTTTTAGAGTTCTGCTCCCGGAAAAGACAAATGTGCACGGACGGACGGACAGAGTCCATTTTAATACCCCCCGCAAAACGCGTTGCGGGGGATAATAACGACTGTATGACTGGTATATAACCTACACTGGATAACCCTTGATATACACGTACTATGAGTGAGTGAGGTGATATGCCATTATTTCAGAAACATCATAGATGGGGACACCAGAAATGAGCTGAACACATTGTATCCTAGTCTGTCTCACAGTCCCTGAACCATATTATTTTCCCTACTGCCAAACCCTCTCTGCAGTGCTAAAGCCCTAAATAAAGCAAGTCTAGATTTTCTCAGGTTCCTGAATCTCTGGTCTCACTGGGGCTCCTTTTCAATTTAAATGGGTTTATTTGCTACTATCACAATTCTATGTATTCAGGGACTAAACGTTAGTCTAATTGTATCCATGTGGGGCACCAAATCCTGGATCCATGAACGTATTAAGCACTAGGCTACCCTTCCATTCCCCCCATGTGTCTGCATGGCCTACATATTACAAAAGATTCATTACAGACCCATCATGAACTTTATGTGTCAGATGCATGCACAGAACCATTAACCTCAATGTTACACATGCCATTAGAGTGATAACTAGTTTACAAGGGCAAAGGATCAAACAGTAGTATTTTAGAAATGATTGATATTGTGTAATTCTCTGACCACTTCAACTGAGTAAATAAACCCAATTTATCAAGTCAGTGGGCATGACATCCACCAACAAGAGATGCTGTAACCATCGTTGAAATTACGACATCAATTCAAAAAGCTAGGTAACCGGCAAGAACAATTTCAGTAAATCTGACAGTATCCAGGCCAACCCAGACACAGTGGTTGTAATGTCAATTGTGTATCACAACAATTCCATTCACAGTAATAATCCTACACTGAACAAAAACTCCAGCCATACAATATACCATTGCAGAATGAAAGCCTTTATCAGATAAAAGCAATGAGCTATAGAAGTTAGTTATTGCCTTTGGCAAGCCTAGAGGAAACAGTGATAAGCTGAAACTGTATACTACCGTGTCCTCACAGCTCAACACAGGGATATCCACACACCTGGTACTACATGATATATGTCCTCACAGCTCAACACAGGGATATCTCCACACACCTGAGATGGTACTACATGATATATGTCCTCACACCTCAACACAGGGATATCCACACACCTGAGATGGTACTACATGATATATGTCCTCACACCTCAACACAGGGATATCCACACACCTGGTACTACATGATATATGTCCTCACAGCTCAACACAGGGATATCCACACACCTGAGATGGTACTACATGATATATGTCCTCACACCTCAACACAGGGATATCCACACACCTGAGATGGTACTACATGATATATGTCCTCACACCTCAACACAGGGATATCCACACACCTGAGATGGTACTACATGATATATGTCCTCACACCTCAACACAGGGATATCCACACACCTGAGATGGTACTACATGGATATGTCCTCACACCTCAACACAGGGATATCCACACACCTGAGATGGTACTACATGATATATGTCCTCACACCTCAACACAGGGATATCCACACACCTGAGATGGTACTACATGATATATGTCCTCACACCTCAACACAGGGATATCCACACACCTGAGATGGTACTACATGATATATGTCCTCACACCTCAACACAGGGATATCCACACACCTCAAGATGGTACTACATGATATATGTCCTCACACCTCAACACAGGGATATCCACACACCTGAGATGGTACTACATGATATATGTCCTCACACCTCAACACAGGGATATCCACACACCTGAGATGGTACTACATGATATATGTCCTCACACCTCACACCTCAACACAGTATTATCCACCAACTAGATATAGTATACGTAATGTTTACCACTTTGACAGATCCTACAGCTGCAGGACTATCTATATATCATACAATATACTGTGTTCCAGAAAGTACCAGACATGGGCACTGTATGAAGATAAACATAGGATGGTATACGTTTTGTTCAACTTAATTTAATAAAGGCGTAAAAACAACACAGTAATCTCAAAACAACCACATACACATCATATCTCTTCTTTAACACTTCTCTTTACATATGAGGAACAAAATTGTCCTATTCAGTCTGTCCTTGTTCGAGTGGATGGGTAAACATATAAATGGGACCAATACTGATTCTACTGAATATTTCCTGAGGAAGAAAACTCTTATTTATTCACATGTGGTTTTACTTTGCTGTTTTAGAACAAAGTATATTATCTATATAGCATCCTGTTTGATAAAAATATATTTCTGTATCCTGTGTCTGTATTGATGTGTGCTTTTATCCTGCAGCAGCATCGCAGTCCTAGTCGGTTATACAGACCCTGTAACAGATATACCCAATGCAGCCTATGCAAGTCGAGAATGTGTTCATTTCAGGGACAAGATGTTAGTCCAAGGTAGTCCTGACAATATGACATGGACAGATGGGAATAGCATAGGTTCTTGACATGTTCTGTAACCTGATGGGCTATATACACACTATGTCTTGTAACTTGGGAGATATATACAGTATGTTCTGTATCAGGGTGGATATATACAGTATGTTCTGTATCAGGGTGGATATATACAGTATGCCCTGTATCAGGGTGGATATGTACAGTATGTCTTGTATCAGGGTGGATATATACAGTATGTCCTGTATCAGGGTGGATATATACAGTATGTCCTGTATCAGGGTGGATATATACAGTATGTCCTGTATCAGGGTGGATATATACAGTATGCCCTGTATCAGGGTGGATATGTACAGTATGTCCTGTATCAGGGTGGATATATACATTATGACCTGTATCAGGGTGGATATATACAGTATGTCCTGTATCAGGGTTGATATATACAGTATGTCCTGTATCTGGGTGGATATATACAGCATGTCCTTTATCAGGGTGTATATATATACAGCATGTCTTGTATCAGGGTGGATATATAACAATATGTCCTGTATCAGGGTGGATATATACTTTATTTTCTGTATCATGGTGGATAAATACAGCATGTCTTGTATCAGGGTGGATATATACAGCATGTCCTTTATCAGGGTGTATATATATACAGCATGTCTTGTATCAGGGTGGATATAACAATATGTCCTGTATCAGGGTGGATATATACAATATGTCCTGTATCAGGGTGGATGTATACAGCATGTCCTTTATCAGGGTGTATATATATACAACATGTCTTGTATCAGGGTGGATATAACAATATGTCCTGTATCAAGGTTGATATATACAGTATTTCCTGTATCAGGGTGGATATATACAGTATGTTCTGTATCAGGGTGGATATATACAGCATGTCCTGTATCAGGGTGGATATAACAATATGTCCTGTATCAGGGTGAATATACAGCATGTCCTGTATCAGGGTGGATATATACAGTATGTCCTGTATCAGGGTGGATATATACAGTATGTCCTGTACCAGGGTGGATATATACAGCATGTCCTGTATCAGGGTGGATATATACAGTATGTTCTGTATCAGGGTGGATATAACAATATGTCCTGTATCAGGGTGGATATAACAATATGTCCTGTATCAGGGTTGATATATACAGTATGTTCTGTATCAGGGTTGATATATACAGTATGTCCTGTATCAGGGTTGATATATACAGTATGTTCTGTATCAGGGTTGATATATACAGTATGTTCTGTATCAGGGTGGATATAACAATATGTCCTGTATCAGGGTGGATATATACAGTATGTTCTGTATCAGGGTGGATATATACAGTATGTCCTGTATCAGGGTTGATATATACAGTATGTTCTGTATCAGGGTTGATATATACAGTATGTTCTGTATCAGGGTGGATATAAAAATATGTCCTGTATCAGGGTTGATATATACAGTATGTCCTGTATCAGGGTGGATATATACAGTATGTCCTGTATCAGGGTGGATATATACAGTATGTCCTGTATCAGGGTGGATATATACAGTATGTTCTGTATCAGGGTGGATATATACAGTATGTCTTGTATCAGGGTGGATATAACAATATGTCCTGTATCAGGGTGGATATATACAGTATGTCCTGTATCAGGGTGGATATATACAGTATGTTCTGTATCAGGGTGGATATAACAATATGTTCTGTATCAGGGTTGATATATACAGTATGTCCTGTATCAGGGTGGATATATACAGCATGTCCTGTATCAGGGTGGATATATACAGCATGTCCTGTATCAGGGTGGATATATACAGTATGTTCTGTATCAGGGTTGATATATACAGTATGTCCTGTATCAGGGTGGATATATACAGTATGTCCTGTATCAGGGTGGATATATACAGTATGTCCTGTATCAGGGTGGATATATACAGTATGTTCTGTATCAGGGTGGATATAACAATATGTCCTGTATCAGGGTTGATATATACAGTATGTTCTGTATCAGGGTTGATATATACAGTATGTTCTGTATCAGGGTGGATATAACAATATGTCCTGTATCAGGGTTGATATATACAGTATGTCCTGTATCAGGGTGGATATATACAGTATGTCCTGTATCAGGGTGGATATATACAGTATGTCCTGTATCAGGGTGGATATATACAGTATGTTCTGTATCAGGGTGGATATATATACAGCATGTCTTGTATCAGGGTGGATATATACAGTATGTCCTGTATCAGGGTGGATATATACAGTATGTCCTGTATCAGGGTGGATATACACAGTATGTTCTGTATCAGGGTGGATATATATACAGCATGTCTTGTATCAGGGTGGATATAACAAAATATGTCCTGTATCAGGGTTGATATATACAGTATGTCCTGTATCAGGGTGGATATATACAGCATGTCCTGTATCAGGGTGATATACAGCATGTCTTGTATCAGGGTGGATATATACAGCATGTCCTGTATCAGGGTGGATATATACAGTATGTTCTGTATCAGGGTGGATATATACAGCATGTCCTGTATCAGGGTGGATATATACAGCATGTCCTGTATCAGAGTGGATATATACAGCATGTCCTGTATCAGGGTGGATATATACAGTATGTCTTGTATCAGGGTGGATATATACAGTATGTCTTGTATCAGGGTGGATATATACAGCATGTCCTGTATCAGAGTGGATATATACAGCATGTCCTGTATCAGGGTGGATATATACAGAACGTCCTGTATCTGGGTGGATATATAGGGATGGGATTGTGGGCATGGAGATATGTATAGTATGCCCTGTGTCATGGAAAGGATATATACCAGTACAGTTTGTCCTGAATCAGGGTGGATAAATACAGAATGTCTTGCATCTCTGGTGTGGTTGGAAGGAGGTGGAGAATATGCTTGTCACAAACCAGGTGGATATATCTCCCAACCTGCATGGATATATCTGTAACCTGGCCACAGTGCATCAGTGGAGAAACTCCAGTCTCAGCTGGAGGGCAGACAGGACACAGTTCCTCCTCACCTACCTACCTACCTAGAGGACACTAAGTCATTCTACCCCTGGAAACTTGTCAGACAGTTGGGTAGGGGTGTTTCAACTGGGACATGGCAGGGTGTGGTAGGGGTGTTTCATGGCGGGATAGGGTGATGGAAGGTGTGACTTGGGTGTTTCAGCCGGGACATGGCATGGTAGGGTGGGGTAGGGGTGTTTCATGGCGGGGTGGGATGATGGAAGGTGTGACTGGGGTGTTTCAGCCAGGCATGGGATGGGAGGATGGGGTGATGGAAGGTGGGACTAGGGTGTTTCAGCCAGGGCATGGCATGGCAGGGTGGGGTGATGGAAGGTTGGACTGGGGTGTTTCAGCCGGGGCATGGCATGGTAGGGTGGGATGATGGAAGGTGTGACTGGGGTGTTTCAGCCGGGGCATGGCATGGTAGGGTGGGGTGATGGAAGGTGGGACCGGGGTGTTTCAGCCGTCCCATGGCATGGCAGGATGGGGTGATGGAAGGTGTGACTGGGGTGTTTCAGCCGGGGCATGCTATTGCAGGGTGGGGTGATGGAAGGTGTGACCGGGGTGTTTCAGCCGGGGCATGGCATGGTAGGGTGGGGTGATGGAAGGTGGGACTGGGGTGTTTCAGCCGGGGCATGCTATTGCAGGGTGGGGTGATGGAAGGTGTGACTGGGGTGTTTCAGCCGGGGCATGGCATGGTAGGGTGGGGTGATGGAAGGTGGGACCAGGGTGTTTCAGCCGGGGCATGGCATGGTAGGCTTGGGTGATGGAAGGTGGGACTGGGGTGTTTCATACAGGACATGGCATGGCAGGGTGGGGTGATGGAAGGTGGGACTGGGGTGTTTCAGCCGGGGCATGGCATGGTAGGGTGGGGTGATAGAAGATTGGACCGGGGTGTTTCAGCCGTCGCATGGCATGGCAGGGTGGGGTGATGGAAGGTGTGACCGGGGTGTTTCAGCCGGGGCATGGCATGGTAGGGTGGGGTGATGGAAGGTGGGACTGGGGTGTTTCAGCCGGGGCATGCTATTGCAGGGTGGGGTGATGGAAGGTGTGACTGGGGTGTTTCAGCCGGGGCATGGCATGGTAGGGTGGGGTGATGGAAGGTGGGACCAGGGTGTTTCAGCCGGGGCATGGCATGGTAGGCTTGGGTGATGGAAGGTGGGACTGGGGTGTTTCGTACAGGACATGGCATGGCAGGGTGGGGTGATGGAAGGTGGGACTGGGGTGTTTCAGCCGGGGCATGGCATGGTAGGGTGGGGTGATAGAAGATTGGACCGGGGTGTTTCAGCCGTCACATGGCATGGCAGGGTGGGGTGATGGAAGGTGTGACCGGGGTGTTTCAGCCGGGGCAGGGTGTTTCAGCCGGGCATGGCATGGCAGGGTGGGGTGATGGAAGGTGGGACCAGGGTGTTTCAGCCGGGGCATGGCATGGCAGGGTGGGGTGTCGGAAGGTGTGACTGGAGTGTTTCAGTCGAGGCATGGCATGGTAGGGTGGGGTGACGGAAGGTGTGACCGGGATGTTTCCGCCGGGGCATGGTATGGTAGGGTGGGGTTAGGGTTCGTGGTTCAACTGTGTACAACTGGAGATGGAGAGGATGTCATGTCAGCTGGAGAAGGAAGCAGCTCACTACTGCAGCAAACTTCCTCGTATTCAGTACACACAGACCACGATCAATAAACAGTTTTTCTTCTGGAAGTAAAACCCTACACTTGCCAAAGTACTAAAATGATATCCTGCATAGAAACAGGAACCGAGAGATCTCATTTCTGAACCAATGTGCTCAGCATTACAGAAGACTCCAACGTCTTCCAGGATGTATCCATGATTCCAAACCAGGGGTGGAAATAACTTTAAAATTGATAGTGTACTCCGGTACAGTGGCACATGTAAAGTCACTTGCCCTGATAATTTTCCCACTATACCGACCGTTTTCTTGCTGATTTTTTAAATAAACAACATAATTAACATTGGAAAGTCAACTGGACAGCGGTACAGTGTGATATACAAATTTGCTTGCCCGACACAAAAAACACACTGGACTCGGACGTCGGGCAATGGGTTATTTCCACTCCTGCAAACAAAGTGCACCTGGCAGACAAACTAGAAAAGCATTAACTTTATTCAAAATTGGGTTGAGTTTTCCTTAACTTCAGAGGTATGTTAATAATGTATTTTCTACATTGCATTCCTTGCAATAATGTAACAGTAGGCCATAGAGCCTTCCTCTTCAATGTGTTTACTAGCTACCACTGTAAGATGGTCAACTGGAGAGATATTCAGGTACAACTTGGGAAGTTCAACAGAGATTTGTTGCAGACATAGATAATCCTGTCAGATCTATCTACCTAACAACAAATATATTCTTAAACATTCCCATCCCTTGCCTCTTGCCCAATTAAAGGACCTTCCACTGCTGTTGACAACTATTATTTACATGACAAGGTTCTCCAGCTGTAACCCTGCTCACAATCTTGGCAGCACACCTCAACAGCCATATCCTGCGAGACAACTAAGTTGTCAATGCCAGCTTAATGCGTGTGTGTGCGTGTGTGTAATGGCTTGCCCCGGGCTGCTCTTCTCAATATTATCAAACACTGAACAACGAAACGCTTCAGTGACTGCTGAGTGACTGTGAAACATCCTTCATCAAAGTGTAAATATACAAACTTAAGGAGAGCTGCTGTCATGTGCTACTGACTATGGCTCTGGTATGTGTTTTAACTTGTGTGTATTACAGAGCCGAGTAGTGGATGCAGGTCCCCATCGCTGCTTTTGAAAACTAGACATACATCTGTCAATTATCATTTTTCATCTAAAATGATAAACAGGTTCATAAATATCCATTTTAAAAATAGGTATACTCCTAGCACTTACAGAATTACTGGATCGCATCCAAACAAAAATCTCAACAGCTGACTCGATGTCTTGAGTTGACAGCTAGTCGACGATGACGTCGAAACTATATCTGATTCATGGTTCCCTCCAGTTCAATGTTGCGTTTACGTTCAAACTGTATCAAATATTAATGCTATCTCCAGTTTAGAAAAAATGTAAATTTTCTTGTCCATTGCTCATCACATTGATAGCTCTGCTGTTGCGGTGTCGCCGTAGGGTATTACTCGATGTTGGACGAGGTGGAGAAACAATGACGCCAAAGAGACGCAACAGACAAAGGCCCAGAAACAGAAACGTGTGTGTGTAATGAATCGTAATTTGATAGCAGTATTTATTGATCGTATGGAAACACGAAAATTGGAACAAAGGAGATTTTCGTCATAACGCCGACACGGACCTTTATATAACCACGGGAGCACCACTGACGGTGTACTATAAATTTACCAAAATATTCACCGCCGACGCAATCGCGGCGGAATAAAGAACTGACAGCAAGGGTAACCCCCGACATCCAAAAACAGACAGTTAATTGCAAATGACAATAAATACACAGAAACTGCAGAGAAACTATTCAACCAGAACACTTCGGCTTCTACACAAATTCATGTGACATGCCGGCTTGCACGGCTGGAATATAATGGGCTATCTCACATTGCCAAAACATACGGTGCACCCTCTCTGAATTCTTCCTACCTTTTCTCTCACGTCGGGTAATCCAAACAGCGACGTATTTCTGTACTCGCTAAAGATCCAGCAAATTATTTCCCATTTAATTCCACGCAATGATTTTCTTCTCACAAAGAAATTCCTCCAAATTTATCCATTTTCGACGCCGCGAATCTGTTCTGACTCAAACCATGAGTTCAGCATGCTATAGGTCTCGCGCATGCGTCTTTTCTCACAGTGCAGGAAGTTTCATCACCTCATTATAAGGCTTGACCCTAAGCATGTATAACTTGTAACCTTTTCCCCAAAACTAACATCTTCCTTTTGGGTTAAGGCAAGAACAGCCTACATATGGTGATTATATATAGCTATAATTTCTCACAGTTTACGAACATCTACGTTATATCAGAATCTTCGTCTGCGAAGACTTCTGAATGACAGATGTGATATTGAAATGTTGATAGGATTCACGATAGAGAAAAAACGTCTTGGTAAGGGTCCATTTAGTTATGTCAACATTATCATATACAAATGGAAACTTTATTTGCGTGTATTCTTTGCAAAATGTGGTATCCTGACTTTTAATTGCGCTATCTTGAACAGACAACGCTTGTCTATAGGTGTGTTAGTTCGTCTACTGACAGGGCAGCGTCAACGGGGTTTTAAAGGTCTGGTGTAGACAGGGGTCGTCTGCTCCGTGTTACCTAATACGTTAGCTATATACCTGGGAGTAATTACCTTGCAAACCACGCAGTCTTTAAAATGTGTACACCCAGTGTCATTCACACGCACATGTACTCTGGTGCACGTGTTCGACTGACAGAATTGGAACCGTTAGGGACAATTCTTTTTACAACGATTCTGTTAAATCATTGCACTGAAAACAAACTAAACACGCCGTTCGAAATAGAGACCAAAAAGCCTTATCTGTGAGTAGTTTGAGAATCGTGTTTCTGAACATATCTTTTTATCAGGCGAAATCCGTTGAGCCTACCTGCTAGACAGCTGGTTATATCCACCAAGTACCTCCCAAATAGTCCCTGAAGTCACCTGCACTGCACGTCAACTTCCAGACCATGTGATGTCGGCAGCGTTATAGGACCACCAACGTTATACGGCCACCTTATACAGTTACATGGCTTCCAATAACAGGGAAGTAATTTCAACTCAACTTGGCGTGACTCTGGCCCGATTAAATCTGCGTTAACGAACGACACTGTCCCGGCGCTCCTGATAATCGGAGACACTCTCCTGCCTCTGCGCAGAATGTCGCTGTCAATCCATGTGGATATACATTCTGTAGATATCGTTTAATAAAGACTTCAAAGTTGAAATCCTTGATACAATCTTTATTCGTGTAAGTAGGTGAGGTGTATCGAAAAGAGTTATATCGAGTATTAATATATACCCCTTGACCTCGTCCCAGTGTATTGCACGATCTATCTCAGCCCTGCATAGACCGCGGGTGAGCGACCTCGTCAATAAAACATGCAACACGAACCAAACACTAGGTTGTGCGTAGAAGGGTATAAACTTATCGAACAAATCACAGGCTTCAACAATAAGTACACTTACTTGTCTCTCTACAGTGAAACCCTGTCAGTACGGATCCTGTTATTCCGATAGTAATTCCCCGTGGTTCCCGTTAGAACGTCTACGTTGAGTAAAAAAGATTATTGCCTTTATATAGCGGCATGCTTGCGTGTGTGCGTATATATGTGTGTGTGTGTGTAAAGGACAAATACTGGGTTTATAGTGCAAGCCCACTGAGGCACAATGCGTCTGTTTCACATGGATACCCCACTCAGTGTACTGACTCTTAGCCTTGCTCCAAGGCGGTACTAAATGTTAAGACATTGGATGTATATTTTTTCCATCCTTTATAGATGCAAGTCTAGATAGGCGGTCATTAGGCCTACTCTAACTGTTTTTTATATTTTATAAGAAATTTTCTTTAAACTATTAATTATTACCTAATAGACTTCTGGAAGTCTAACTGACTGTGCCGAGAACTCAGTGTTTCATACTATTAATGCCTGCCGCGGTATTTAGTATGACGCGGCCGGGGATCGAACACCGACCTACGGCTGTCTGAGCAGACGCTCTATCCACTAAACCTCGGAGGCGGTCAACCGGCAGTATGTTTATCCGTACGTTTCTACAGGGAATAGTTCCATTCGGATTGATTGTCTGGTCCAAACTTGATTATTTACAGACCGCCGCAGTATAGCTGGAACATTGCTAAGTGCGGCGTTAAGCAACAATCAGTCAGTCAATCCCTCCGAGTGAGTGAGTTTAGTTTTACGCCGCACTCAGCAATATTCCAGCTATATGGCGGCGGTCTGTAAATAATCGAGTCTGTACCAGACAATCCAGTGATCAACAGCATGAGCATAGATCTGCGCAATTGGAAACTGATGACATGTGTCAACCAAGTCAGCGAGCCTGACCACCCGATCCCGTTAGTCGCCTCTTACGACAAGCATGGGTTACTGAAGGTCATTATCTAACCCGGACCTTCACGGGTCCAAACCCTCCGAATTGATGGAGTTGAAAAGTACTGTACAGGCATCACAACACTGTACAATACGGCTCTATGGGGTTTGCCTTACTGTACAGGGGTTTTATATTACTATGCTGGACGGGGTTTAGCTAACTGTACTAAACCGTGTTTAAAATCCCGGTATTAATGTTTATGTCATCAAACTCAACAAAGAAACGCAAACAGCGCACACCAAACTTTACACCAAGTCAAACATTAGGTGCCTGAACTTTCCAATATCAGATGTCACAAGTGAGCCCGAACTGGGCCATACCATCAGAAGCCTCTCCCCAGCCGCCGGCGACAATATCGATCTGACGGAAGTGTGTCGTCACTTTCCGCAAAACCAATGTTATACATTTCATTATATAGCCTCGTCTTTTATTCCTCAGGAATGTACTCTAGCTGCAACAGTGTGTGTACTAACTACGGTCGCTGCATCTCAGTGATGTAGTGGCTGGCTTACTGTTGTATACGTCGCCTGGCAACACTGTGACTGTCTCTGTATATTGTATTTCAATCTCTGTAGATACCCCGCTAAGGGACCGGGACAGCTGCCTGTGCGTGACGTAAAACATCATTCCCCTAACCTTCATGATATGTGTGACCCCCCACTCTCTTCCCCTATGATGCTGGGCTATAGCTGGAGTATTGCTGGGATATCACTAGAATATACTGTTGGAATGTAAGCGGGCATGTTGCAGTGATATAACTGGGGTATTGCTGGGATATTATGTTGGGATAACACCGGAGTATTGCTGGGATATAGCTAGAATATATTGCTTGAATGTAAGCGGGCATATTGCTGTGATAACACCGGGGTATTGCTGGGATATAGCTAGAATATATTGCTGGAATGTAAGCCATATTGCTGTGAAATAACTGGGGTATTACTGGGATAACACCGGGGTATTGATGGGATAACACGGGGTTATTGCTGGGATATAGCTAGAGTATATTGTTGGAATGTAAGCGGGCATATTGCTGTGATATAACTGGGGTATTACTGTGATAACACCGGGATATTGCTGTGATAAAACAGAATATACTAATATATATATAAATAGAGCATAGGGGAGATAAGGTAACGTGAAAACTTAGAAAGGGGGGTAACTTCTGGGTTCGAATCATCGCCGCTGTTACCATCACTGTACTGCAAGCACCATACCCGTGTTCGTGGGCTATGACAGAATAACCTCCATAACTGTGTCACTTCCACGTGTCCCAGACACGAGGCCGATATGCCATGACGGCACCATCAAACCCGTTCAGACGGGGTCCAATCAGCCCACTCCCTGGCAGTTGACACTGAGAGAGAGGTGCAACCCGAGGGAGACCTTTCTAGGCCGCTTGGTGTTGTATCCTCTCCAGGCTCTGTACGTCAAGGCTTGTTTCGAAAATCCATATTTACAGCATTTCGCTCTCTGATTATTGATTTTCCTGTGAAAGCTAAGGATTCAGTAAGGATTTCTGAAAGATTGAGTATACCGAGATATCAATTCTGATTGTAGCAGAGCTTTACGTCCACAAATGTATCCATATATGAAATGGCTGGTTTGTATGTCGGGTGCGGCGGGCGAAGGTGGCCTAATGTTCGACTGTCACACGCTGACTTGGCTACTATGGCTAATATTGCCGCTTCATAAACAAAGGCGGCTATTGTCCATGTCCGCTGACAGGCCAACACATACTCTGCTGATTTTGTTACGTGGATCAATCTGGATGACACGCATTCGTATCCGTCACCATGGCAACTTAACAGTAGATATTTCGTTGCTGTCAGCACATCTTTGGAGGTCACATGCAACCGAAAAATCAAACAATTAAAACACAATTATCACTTATTCATGACACATAATATACACTGCTGATTATGAAAAAACATATAAACAAAATTATAAGCGTACAATCGCAAATCAAAAGTGCAATATTTTGTACTTGGGTTTACTTCCATCGAAACGAAGCACCCGGGATACCGAACCCAGTCAGAGCGGGTGGGTGTGCACTCAAGTGTAACGGCTGGTTCATGTGCAGATTCCCTCACGGCTCATTGTGTGTTTGTATATAGAGATGTTGGGTTTTGTAAATACATGCTCATTTTTTGTGTATTACATTTTGCAATCACCAGACATCATAACATGTCATGTGTACAAGTATCACACCTGCCTGTCTGTGTAATTACATAATGTGACAGAGACCAAACTCGGGCCATAAATCAATGCGTTTTGTTTATGGTGTATAGCCTGATAGGTGTTAAGTTCAAATTGAACTTATATAAACAGTTGAATCGGTAATCTACTGTCATAACATATAAAAAGCTTGCGCCTGTGAAATGTCAACAAAACATTAGAAAAATAGCTAACATCAAAGCCTTCACCGAGTATTCACCGCCAGCGAAGGTTTTCCGTCTTGAAATGTTGAACGCCTCACTGGTTGACACATAGCTGAGTAGATCTAGATCCTAACAAGGTTCTTTTATGTAATGAGTAGATTATTTACTATTTGTTTTGATTAGACTACTCCTGCTCACGACCTTATAATCCGGACATCCCGCTTCCAAGCTGCGCGAACCTATTTCACTGCGCATGTGCTATGAGCGCAGCACAGCTGTTGAAACCACTTTCACCCCCAAGCGCTGGGGTGAATTTAATGAATCGTT